TAGTCTGTAGGATGGAAAGATCAGGGATTTCAAAGGCTGCACTCTGGTCGAGAAGAAAAAGGACAAATAAAACATCAGTCAGCAGTGAGGAGGAGTATTTTTTTTTTTTTTAATCCTGTGGTAGTTTCCAAAATCAAATTAAAACTCTTTATCCAACCTTTTGTATGGTCAATTTAATTTCAGTTGACTGGTGACTGTTTAAAAAAAAACTTTGAATATGAAGGGTAGATTACAGATAGGATGAAGATTTTTGAAGTGTGAGGTGTCGAGACCTGTTCTTTTAGTGACAGGAGTAATGGTCACAGGTTTAAATGCAGCAATGGCAACACAGAAGACAAAGAGTAGTGGATAATAATGCTGGTAATGATTGACATCAGAGAGAGAGAAACAGGTTTTAATAGGGAATGCCATTAAAAGATCAACATAGCAGGAAGATGTCAACATCAGAGAGGAGGGAAAATAACAAGAAGGAAGGTAACAAGAGTCCAACAGACATGCTGGAGCAATGGTTTGGTCAAAGCACCTGATGGAAAAATAATTTTGGTTGAAACAATTTTACTAAATAACAGAAACCCAAGGAGAGCATGTGTGGGTTAAAGGGTACGGAGATTTAACCAACTGGTCAAAAGGGAGAGTGGTCTGAAAACTGCCTGCTCTTATCGGATGATGCAAGGACCACAGTATGTGAGGCTCTACCTTCTTTTCATCACTAAACATGAAATCTTAAATAAATATAAATAAAGTTGAACTATTTAACACATATTTTATCCTTAGCTGTAGTTGATAACACCAGCAGTATCATTCTCCTATGAGAGAGGAAGAAATAACCTAAAAAGATATTGGCTAGTTGCCATGTTATGTAAGCAAAACTTTTCTCACACAAATACCAGCCGCCTGGTGCTGCTAATGGCTTCTACTTTGTTAGCATTAAAGTTTTACCAATACTGAAACAGAGAAAAAAGAACAGCTTTCTGAGGAAGAAAGGTCTACTGCTCCACCTTACAACTATGCTACAGTACTGCAAAAAATAGAAATCTCAATAAGTAATTTTTTCTTAAAATAAGTGCGTTTTTCCTTGAATTGAGGAGGTAAGTAAGACACTTTGCCAATGGAACAAGACAATTTCCTTTTAAAATAAGAAAAAACAATTTTATCGTCTTATTTCAAGTAAATATTATCTAACTATCTTATTTTAAGAGGAAAAATACTCATTCCATTGGCAGATCATCTTATTTACCTGCTCAAATTAAGGGTAAATATACTTAATTTAAGAATTTTGTACTTATTTCTGGATTGTTTTTGCAGTAAGATCAATAATGATCCAGATAAGACTTAGTAACTTGATGTGCACTGATACACACAGGCATGTGCTGACAGCGGTGGATGCTAGGAGGATAGCCCGGGACTTCACACAGCATGACAGGCTGAACCACTTCAGGGAGTTTTAGAGCAGAGTTATGCTTGACATTTCTTTTAAAACTACCTTTATGCTTATAACCTATATTTTATCAGCTGTGATTTAATAATCCTAAGTGGAAATAAATTGGGCATTGGGTGGGTAAATTTCAGAAAAAAGTACAAAAATAAACACTGTGTAAATATCACGTTCAGGGACAGCAGCCTTTGTCAGCAATGCATTTTGGTGTCTAGAAAAGGTTTAATTTGTCTAATGGTGTCTTATAAAGAGAATACCGTTGTTTTGTCCATGTCCATGTGCATTGGGTAAAGGTATTTGGAAAAGAGCCCAGTGGGCTATAATAATAGTCTAAGCCAAAACAGTTAGCTCCCTGAAGTATAGGATCCCATTTACGGAGAAGATCGAGCACAGACGACTGATAAAACAAAAAGGATTTTAAGGCATTTATTTTCTCAGGAAATACATTATTAACCTTTAACAGGTTAAAGGTTAATAATGTGAATCTCATGTATAAATGTATGTGTAGATTATCCGTGTCATACAATAATATAATAGCAATTTTAGTAAACCCTGTTTTTAGTACAGTGAGATTTTTCTCAAGATTGTGGAAACATTGGCGTCATCACTTATTTGTGGCTCAGTGACTGTCATGCTTCTTTTTGTTTTCTTTTTCTTTTGTTTTCTTTTGTTTTTACTATGGACCTCTCTTGTGTCTGAAATAAAGATTGATTGATTGATTGATATAGTTTAGTAGCTTACCATATTTTGGGAGGGAAAAGCATAATTTAGGTATTTTTTACCAAATAAAATCAAGGGCGACCTGTATGTATATCTGAATGCACATGCGCAAATGAGCTGATGGTAAGAACAAGGAAGAAGACAAAGGTAATGGCGATGAATGACTGACTTTTCTTCTTGTTAAAGCATAAACTGCACCTTAGCCCAAAAGGTAGACTGAATCTATTTTTTTCTGGTGTCCTGCAGGTTATTGTTATATAGTAGTACATTTGCTACTCATTTAAACAGCCCGGTGCATGTTTAGTACTTGTAGTTAGCAGTAGTTGAGCAAATAGATAAAAATGTATTTAAATTTGTAGCAGTAGCTTGCTTTTCAAACTGTTCAGAAAAGAGAGTTGTTCCCAAACAGCAGTCTTTTTCCTGGTAATGCAGCTTTGTGCATATTCTCTTACATATGGTAATTAACCACTAAAATACCTGCGGCTTTAAATCAGGTGCGCCTAATGTACGGTATGAACAAAACAAGATTTTCCCCCTAATTTTAGCTTGTGCCTTTAACAATTCTTTGCATACATAATTTTTTATTAAGGAATTTATGATATAATCCTTTTCTTTTAAATATCCCAAAGTCTTTGTTTACTCACAGTTTAAAAGTAGAGTAGATATATTTTTAAAATACATGTAAAACTCAATGCAAGAACATTCCTTTGAGATGATAGACAGGGTGGTGTTTAATTTTGTTAAAAATAATAGTCTAAACAGAACTGTACTCTTAACTTCATCAAGAATTTATTTGTGAAAGAACAATGTTTGCACGTCGTGCATCTGCAGTCATGTTGCACAAACAGTACATGGTTTTCTCTTCCTTTATAAGAAAGACTTTATTAATCATAATTAACCGATGTGCATCGGTCGAATGCATAGGTAAATGACCCCACACTGTCACACTATATTTATACAGTTCGTTCTAAACATTTAAAAATTAATCAGTTATTCTCTTGTTTCAAAGTGATACATTTTTCCAGTGTTTAATAACTCAAGCTTCCTAAAAAACAAACATCAAAAAAGCTGTGTGTAGAAAAAAAAGAAAAGCAAAATTAAAAACGTGAAGCTATGCTTCTAATGCAAGAAAAACAAAAACATGATGGAAAGACAGAGAACGAGGATTAATAAGCTGTAAAACCAGATAATCCACTGTTACTGGCTCTGCTGCCAACAATGTTTGGTAACCAAGCATAAAAACTGGAGCACGAAGCTGCTGGTTCCAGGAAGATAAAGAAGCAATAAAGTCCCTAAGATTGACATATACATTTTAAACAAAGGGTATAACAGTGACAGAATACATACTGACGAATGCGGGTATGCAAGGTATTTGATGTACACTTGCTTTGCTTCATTTGGAAAAGCTGCAAGAAGCATGCCAGCAGTCTTTAAAATAAGGTTATAAAAATGCAAACTGTCGGTTGGTTCTTAAAGGAAAAGTCCGGTCACCAAGGAATAACCAATGGGTCATTATTTACACCTAAAACTAATCAGTTTGGATTGATTTAATGAATTAAGAGTTAATCAGTAAAAAAATAAAAACAATATTTTTCACTGAGGCCGTGACCGGCCATTTTTCGTTGTTGGATTGCTAACTTGAAGAGGGAGAATTTGCCATCCAACTTCTGGCCAGAGGAAAAACACGTCATTAATCACTAGATACAGCACTGGGAATTGCACAAAAGCCGATACCGAACCGTTACGTCACAAACCGGTAGGTGGCAGTAGTGTTCTTTGACAACCATGCATGTCTCTGGTAAAGCATATTCAAATTAAATTACTCTTAATTAAAAACACTTAATTTATTGAAAGCTATGTAATCATTTCATACCTAAAGTACTTCCAGAAGTTTGAATTCTGAATATGACCGGACTTTTCCTTTAAGTTTTTCAACATACTCAATGGGTTACTAATAATAAACATAAAAAGTTTAACAAAGGTTAACCAAGTGCTTGTTAAAACCTTTAAAATGCTGTAAACTTCATTATATATCCTTTACTGAATTAACCTTAATGCACTGCAGTCTCTAGAGTGAGCCCAGTTTCCACCGGACAGATAATCAGTGGCGCTGTGTTCCTCCCATTGTCATGAAGGCAGGGATTAAAGTACGGGTAGACAGGCTCTGTAAAACAACACCCTTTGTAGGTGTAGATATGACTCTTTGTATCGGCATTGTAGAAAGACACCGATCCATCTTCATAGTCCAAGTATACGCCCACTTTCGATGGGATTTCCTGAAGCTTTAGGATAACGGATGGTCCAGCACAGGCCCGAAGACTCTCACCCTTCCTCCTGCAGATCGCCCAGTAACCGTTGTCTGGACGGACAGTAATGGAGCCCTTCCTGTTAATGGACTCCTTGGCTACACCAAGATCCCAGTCGGTTTTATCTCCTACCTGTAAAACAAATGCAGAGCACAGAACTAAAGCACGGATGTAACTGCATAAGGAAATTGCTAAATTATTACACAGATCTTTCAAATGAATAATTCCTTAAAACACACTTTAGGAAAACTATTTCTGATAATTGCTACAGCGGTCTGTCCAGAGCGTACACTACATCCCAACCATGGACCTTGTTGAAATATGCTGTTTTGCCATAATATATGTTTTTGAGTAACAAAAAGTACTGTAGATTGAGGATATGACGCCACTGAAATGTTTCTTTGTAGATGAAGCAGCAAAAATCAATCACAAGAATGATGAGCGGCATATGTCATTCTATTATAAGACAAAACAAAAACCACAAACGTACTGTAAAAATTAAGGCTTATAAAGAATGCTTGTTAAAGAGGCATTACAGCATTTCCTTATAATACTGCCACCTGTGACCAAAACACAGAACTGCAGCTCTCTTCTGTTTGTTTTCATAGCTCAGTGTTCTTTATTTGTTCAATGTTCTCTGTTTTTATTTTTTATTCATTTTACGGAGTGGAGTTGCCACTGGTGTCTGAGCATCCATAAAATCCACCTTGATTATAACACTGATTGCTGGGTCGGACAGATATAACATGAACACGCTTGAGGTCAAATCCACAAACAGCTCCAGAACTTCTGACCCAAAGTCAAATGAGGAAAATAGGCTACAATCTTATATATGCATCGGCGCTGATCTACTGAGGAGCCAGTCTGCTCATCAAATGATGTTTTAGTTGTAAAGGGTAAAAAAAAAAGTCTATTTTAAAGATATTTTTCAATAAAAGCTTTATTTCTCTTTAAACTTTTGAGCTTTCTAAGCCTGAGTTTACTTTCTTGTCTGAATAAAATTAAATTGACCAGCAGCTCAATGTCTGATCCTTTGAGTCTCTGCCAGACTACTTACGGATAAGTGTGATACTTACCCAAATTAAATAAAATACTCTATAGATACAAAATTCCAAGCCTTTTGATGCAGCTGGTTATTTTGTTATAATCATTGTTAATAAAACATGCATGATAAACATTTACATTTTAACTTTTTTGTTGTAGTTTCCATCAATATTCAAGATCTAAATTATCTCCACATATGACTTGTTTTTACCACAGTATTTGACTGTGTAGTGTTTGCAGTTCAGCAATGGGTCTAACTCTACCAACCTACCTTAACCACCCAATATCTCCTCCCAAAGGTGTAGCTTTGCTGCCCCAGGACGGCAACACAGGAATCGAACCTGCGGGGGTCCTTAGGGAGCGACTGTATTCCTTGCTGGCCGCTCAGGCTCACCTATGGATCACCAGGAGATTATTACATATTAGCAACAAAAACACTGACATCCAAAAGCCTGAGAAGGGTTTATAGTGACAGACGAAGGCGTCTCACTGTGAAACACACCTTTTTACCATCGGGGGACAGAAGCAACCAGTTGGCAGCAGTTCTAGGATCCAGAGTCACATCCACTAAAAATAAATGGATATAAAGAATGGAAACATCACTCAGTATCAATAAAGTTTCAATCAATAAAAACAAAATTGTTCAGATGCAGAAGTTTGAGACAATTTATAAACTATAGTAAAGGAACCCTCTTAAAGATTCACATGCATACCTGCATAATTGCCAATCTTGTTGATTTCTGAAAAGAAAGAGGGAAAAAACGGTTTTAAAATTATTCAGTGAATTATCTTGGGTGCAACACGGTCAAATCTTTATAAAAGACTTAATGGAGATTTTTCTGTTATGTCAATTGAATAAGTACTGACCTTCTGCACAAAGGTTCTTTTCCAATTCCCGGCAGAGGTCCACCAGCTTGGAGAAACTTGCCCTGACACTTCTAATGTAAATATCAGGCTCAGCAATGACCTCAGACCAGTTTGTGGAGGATGGAGGAGAAGTCAGGCATGGGAAGCTCTGGAAAAAGTAATTTCCAAATGCAAAAAAAATTTACGTTTATTAGGCAGAAAAATGCTGCTGTTGTATATCTCTAACAGGACAAGCAGAGTGAATTAATATCTAATGTGTCTAATTTGCTGCTAAATCTAACCTGCAATCACATTAAAACAAGTAGTGCTTTATGAAAGATTAGTTTACATCATCGTTAAAATGTCTGACCTGCAGGAGATGAAGCTGGTCCTTGGTGTCCTTCAGATATTGCAGCTCACTGCATCTCCTCTGCAGTTCATCGATCTCCTGGTTGAGCTCTTCTATTAGGTCTTCTCCTCTCCTCTTTGCNCAGACAGCAGCAAACCATTTGAAAACAAACGATGCAAAGAGCAGTGCTGCCAACTTAGCGCTTTAGTCGCTATATTTAGCCACTTTTCAGACCCCTAAAATCTAGAGACCCCAAATCTAGAGACTATTTTCTGCCATTATTTGACAAATGAATTAATTGCCTATCATCACTTCAAGTTCATAATAATGCCTTTTTTTAATTTTGAGGCCCTACACATGGCCTTCATACGCTTACTTCACAATGATATGAGCAGGCTTTGGCTGGCACCAATTACACATGCATTTTTTTTCCCAACAAATTTATTACTTTTGCTTTTGGTTATAAGCCACAAACAAAGATGCAGTCTGCAAATTATCTACTCACCAGCATTTATAGTTTCTGCTTGGACCATTTCATCTTTCTTTGTCTTGTGTCCTTCTTTCACAAAGCGGTCAACCCTCTTGCAAATTATACACACAGCAGGAAGTACATTGCCAGACCTCAATGATTTAGTCGTGGATTTCAACCGTTTTGGAGATGGTGGCCGGCTAGTCGTGGATGTGGTTGTGGAAGACTCTTGATCAGAACCATTGTTGTCACCACCACATGCTCCCCGTTTTTCTGCTAGTTTTTCAGCACTGGCAATTGGTTTCTTATCGATGAAACGTTTATAACAAGTTGGATGAAAACCACGTTTTTTTACCTCCAAGAAGCCAGAAAAAGTTTTGTCTGGTCAAGCCGGGGTTGACGTGGAATCGTCATTGTTATTTTTGGCGGACTCATCGTGTACACATACAGCGTCAGCCAACGTGCAGCCGATTCCGTCAATTTCTAGCCACTTACGGGCACATACAACCAGCTTCTTCCAACGAACAACTGCTAGTGGCTGTGTCTGTTCTTTGTCCACCGATGATATGTGTGTGATGCATATATAATCCACATTTTTCTTGCCTTTTCTGTCTGATCCAACGGGAGCACTTCGCTCCATGGGAGACGCAATGTTTGTTGTTGTTCTTCTCTATTCGCTTCTGAAATGGGAGAGCATACCTGAAGGACGCGCTCTGATTGGCTAACAGCTAGGCGGCTTGATTCGAGCATAGATTAACGGTGTGATCAGGCTACCAATATAGTTACACTTTTAAGTAATTACTGTAAAAATACTGGTGCAAAGCGAATGGAGAACTTTTGGTTATGGGCTTAAAATGCACTTAGGATTTTATTGTAGGTGTCATTTAGTAGTCCCTAAATAGGCGGAGCGAACCTGAACGATACTATTGGCTTTGTTCAAAATGTGAATACTCCCATACATTCTCATCTTCATACTTTAGATCTTGTGCTGACATACGGCATAGAATGTGAAGAAATAACAGTATTTCCTCACAACCCTGTCCTCTCTGACCACTTTCTAATAACTTTTAGGATTACTTTACTAGAGTTCTCCTCCCCCAAAAGACTTCCATGTGGCTGCTTTGGCTCAAAAAGGGGGGCTGCAGAAGCCCCCCAGCTGTTATTCACCAAAGCTGCGTGTTCTTCTCTGGTCATCCTATCAGGATGAAATATGGACACTGCTTCCCAATGTCCAAAAAGTATGATCATGGCATATGGCACAATATCCTCCTCCATTTTAGATGTGATTAATCTATCTCTGTTACAAGGATATGTAACAAAGGCTAAGGTTGCTGTAAATAAACCTTTGCTTAAGAAACCATCTCTTGACCCAGATGACTTGGTCAATTATAGACCTATATCCAATCTTCCTTTCTTATCTAAAATTCTTGAGAAAGTAGTTGCCAAACAAGTTTAGAATCACTTACAACATAATGAACTTTTTGCTATATCTGTCTATAAATCCAGATGAAGCTACCCAATTACATAAATTACAGGCATGTCTTGAAGACATAAAAACCTGGATGACTCT